GGGGCGGGGCCGGGGCGGCCACGGGGGCGGAGTGGGGGGCGGGGTGGCTCCCGGCTGGCTGGGCACTCGACGTGGGCGCACCGCTGGGTCCCAGCTCCTGTCCTGGCGCGGATACGCGCTTCCTCCTTTGCGCTCCCGGGCGTCTAGAGAGGAAGGTCCCTGAGAGTTCACGAGAGTTCGGGGTCACCGCGAGTCCGGGGTCCGAGCGGTCTCAGGGCAGTGGCCCGTTCCAGCAGCTGCGCCCAGGCGCACAAGCCGGCCAGCCACGGGCAGGGGGCTGCCAGCAGCAAGATGAGGAAGCCCGACGGGAAGATCGTGCTGCTGGGGGACATGAACGTGGGCAAGACGTCGCTGCTGCAGAGGTACATGGAGCGGCGCTTCCCAGACACGGTCAGCACGGTGGGCGGCGCCTTCTACCTGAAGCAGTGGCGCTCCTACAACATCTCCATCTGGGACACTGCAGGTGAGGGTCGGTGCTGCAGGAGCCACGTTGTCCTCGGGGCTCCGCAGGGGACGTGGGTGGGGGCGCGGGCCTTCCAGCAGGTGTTCCCGAGGATGGCGTCCTTCAGGGCAGGTGTCTCCCAGGTCGGCTGTTCTGGGCTGCGCACAGGGTCCCGACCTCAGACCGCAGATGCCCCCGTTTGGGGGTGCGACCACCCTTAGCCCCTGTTTTCACTTGTTCCCCTTTGCTGGTTGAGAGAACTGCCTGTTCAGACACTCCGCGCGCCTTAGCGACAATCAGGGTTACACTGGGAAAGCCCCCGGCTCCAAAGGCAGAACCTGCTGGCCACTTACGTACCTAAGCGGCCTTTGGCTCCAGAGCGCCGCCTGTCGGCGCAGAGCTGCACGTGGTGACCAGACGCACTCCTTTGTTGCTGCTTTAGTGTTTTCAGTTTTTAAATACCCTCAGGAACATGATCTCACTTGATAGTTGTAACAACCTTGAGTGGTGAGTAGAGCTAGTATGGTTAGCCTTTCTTTTTACGAAAAAGGAAACTGAGGCACAGAGTGTTTCCTCTCTGCTGGGTTTAGTGAGGAGAGTAGGACGTAGAACTGGAGTTTCCAGATCTCTTAGTCCAGACCATATCTGCATTTTACAGTTTACTTACCGTCTCTGCTTGATCCTGGCACATATATATGTCATGTGGGTTTGGAGTGATTTCCTGTAGAAGCATTTTTAAGATAGTAATGAATTATTTTTAGTGTAGTATTTGTGACTTGTCAGAAGTACAACTTAGAGGATCTTAATTCAAGCTTTCAGTTTAGCTTTGCGAAATAACACTGATGATTATGGTGTAATAATGGAATGTATTTCCTCCCCTGTGAAAAAGAGGAAAATACCCTAAGTAAATGGAGAAACTGGAAATGGTATGATACATTTTCAATGAATGTGAGTTTTTGGAAGCCTGATACTTTAAGGTTCAGACTTCTTTTATGTCAGCACTTTAAAAAGTCATATACCCAAAGGTCCTGTCCAGGATTTTTAAATTGCCGTCTTGTGTGCACCAGTCTGCTGAATAAACAAGATTATAATGAATTCTCTATCTAAAACTGAATTAATGAAGTTCAGCTGGGCACTTCCACTCCTCCCCCGTCCCTTCTGCTTTCTTTGATGCTTTCTTTTTCGTTATTATCTCTGTTAACATCATGACTAAATTATTTGCAATGCCCCCCAGGTACGTTCCCTGTTTTTTTCTCCAACTCCTCTCCACCCCGGCTGTAGGGAGAGGTTTCTCTGTGATCTTTGACTTAAGCTGACTCCCTGGCTCTGGGCATTTGGTGAGGGTGGAAGGCACGCTCTGGAAGTGGAATCCAATCACATTTGCAGTACTTGTCTGCCTGCTTTGTTCAAAGCTTTGCCCCTCCGCTCCTTTTGTTGATTGGCTGGATGTTACTGCTGTACTTGGTTTACATGAAGATAATGCAGGATAGGTGTTGGGGGACACAAAACAAGGGCCAGCCTGGAGGCAGACTCTGTCCACGCAGGGTGATGTTTCTGCAACAGGTGCTGAGGGTGTTGTTCGAACAGACTCCTGCCTTGGAGGGTAGGTAGTAGCAGTTTCACTCTGACTGGCCGCTTCCTTCTTCAGCGCCAGGGACATGTTGCAGCCGGAACCCTGATCACCAGAGGATTTTGTAACAGTGCTGATGTGATGTCCTAGATATCTCTAAGGGTTCCCAGGGCGGCAGCTCATTTCCTGGCTGTGGAGGCTGCTGCCCTCTTATTCCTGGAACCCTTAGTGTGAACTCAGTAGGGACCCATCTCCGCATTCCTGACCTCTTGTGTGCGCAGGCTCAGGGCAACCAGGTCCGGAGTTGGAGTCAGAGTCGGAGTCGGAGTCTGAGGGACTCGGGTCACCCAGTGCCTGTCTACTCAGTGGTGGGCTTATAGAATACTCGAGGGGGAAGAGAGGTAGGAACAGATGCCTTTGCCATAATCCTTGTTGGAAATTCAGAATTTAACTTTTGGGGGCCCTGCTTTTTCCCTCCTTTCGTCTAGCTCTTAAACTTTCTTTCCAGCCCACAGAGTATGCTTTTTAAGTTGTTTTCATTGTAACAGTCATGACCAAGGCAGAAGGCTGAAGACCAGCTGGAGGAGAAACCGCTTTTACTGCTACTTTCAGTAATAGGAGGCCACGGGTGTGGACAGGTGGAGGTTGTTCGGATGTTTAATCGTGGAAAAAGAAAGCGGTAGTAAGGTAGGGGTCAAAGTTCCTGTTGAACTTCTGGGGGCCTTTCCCAAAACACCCAGGACCTGGCTGCTGGCAGCCTGCAGGGCGGGTGGTGGGTGGAGCTGGGCGCAGAAGAGATTAGCTGGGTTGGGAAGTACTTTATCTTACTCAGCTGACTGGAGAGTCCTTCAGAGGTAGATGTGATTATTTGCATGTTAAAGAGGGAGACAGACGCTCAGAGAAGTTAAGTGGGGTTCAGCCCATGGTCTGTTTGGCTGGCCCGGCCCAGCCCACTCCTTCCCTTGTGCCTCTGTCACTCTCCGCTGTGTCTAGCTGGGCAGACAGATGTGGAGCAGTCACAGTGCCCAACTTGGCAAGTCCAGGAAGCAGGATGGGGGTTACCCAGAGAGGAGACAGAGCCCTGAGATAACCTGCCGCTGCCCTCCTCCCTGTTACCCGTTGGTCAGAACAGCCTAAAATGGTGCTGCCTGTCACCAGCAAATGTCCTGTGAGTGCGGAGCCCATAGCTGTTTTCAGTGCTGAAAAGTTGTCGTGTGGAAGAGGAACTTAAGCCTTGTTCTGAGTTTTACTCCAGTGAGTAGAACTAGGTTTGAGGGTCTGTGGTGGGAAGGTAGATTGGATCTGTGAGTGGGGTGGGCTGCCTTCCACATGGCACATGCCCTGCCTGCGGTGATCGCCACTGTTCCTGGCCTGGCCCCGCATGAGGGCTCCGCACTCCTGCGTTCACTTCCCCTTCTCAGTGGTCCTCCTGGGAGGCGTCAGCGTCTCTGTCCTACAGACGAGGTAGCAATGAAACTAGGACTGTCTCATTCAACTCCCAAACCTCGGTCTTACTGCCATCGTAGACTCCAGGTCTGGGGGCTGCGTGGTTCAGGACCTGGAGTGGGGATTTCTCAGCAGGTTAGGTCCTTCCCTCCCAAAGGCAAAATTCAAGGACTTACGAGGACAGGGGCATGCTGGGTTTGGGGTATCGGGCTCTCCCAGGCCCTCTCTGCCTCAGAGGTGCTGGGGCCTCTGCGAAACCAAGCTGGGCTCTGCAGGGGTAAAGATGGTTTGCCCAGGCAGGCTCTTCCTCAAGCTCTGTATGCAAGTCAGAGGATCGATTTAAGATCTTCCTTTTTACTTGAACGGCTTTAGTGCAACTCAGGAAAGGATGCTGAAATTTCTGGTTGTGAAATCTTGGTGCCTAGAGGAGGGAAAGTTTAAGTGAGCCTGTGAAATTAGCTAAGAGGTTAAGAGGTCTTGGCTGTCTGAGGCTGTCCTGGGATAACTCCCGGGGATGTTTGTGAAGGATGAGTGTGGTGCGCAGGTAAAGATGCCAAATGAGATGGGCCATCTAATTCTGAGGTCCGGGAGCCCCCTGCCTGCTGACTTCCACCCCACTGGAGCTGAGACCACCCGTGCAGCTGCTCCTGGATTCAGGGAATGGGGTGGATGTGGGTCATAAGCGATATCCATCTGGTTGGAAAGGTGTAATGCGGAGGAGCCTGGACAGTAGCTCACTTGGACAGGGACCATGAGAGCTGCTGACAGTTGGTGCTTTTGGCTTGCCTGAGAGGACCGCACATTTTCAAAAAGCCTTGCGATGTTGATGCAGAAGGTGTCAGACAGCTGGAGAAAAACGTGGAGCCAGGGGGTGGAGGGAGTCCGACTTTAGCTGGCTCTCAGATCGTATCAGGTGAGGCTTCTGAGTGGTTTTTGAGGTCTTACCATGGCCACCCTCAGCCTGACACTCAGTATTTGCGGGACAGGAGACCATCTGGCTGGTCACATCCTCTTCCTACAGATTGGGGGCTGCCATGGGCCCACCTCCAGTTGTTGTAAATAAACCTTTATTGGCACACAGCCACACGCGTGCTGTCCGTGGCTGCCTTCACCTTACAACAGCAGAGTTGCATTGTTACAGCAGAGACCATGTAGCACACAGAGCCAAACACATTTACTATCTGGCCCCGTGAAGAAAAAGATCTGGGTCACGTAAAGAGGAAGATACTTTGCTAAAAGTCCATTCTGTAGCTTTAGCAACTTCCAAAAGGACCCCATGATTCAGTTAAACTCAACGAGCAGCTCTCTGGTTTCTACCGTGTGTGCTGGGCTAGGTTGAAGGGAGGGTAAGGCCTGGATTGAAGACCAACACCAGTTCCTACTGAAAAAAGATCGTGGAAAAAATTGCCGTTTAGGTTTGGCTTCTGGAAGCCAAACCTGCCAAGCCTGTGTCGTACATGGGTCCATGTCTTTATCTCTGCCGAGGGTTTGGAACAGGGCCTTCTGGATGCGAGGCCTCATTTGCAGAATTCCTCTGCCTTTTGACCAAGAACAGTGGCCTGGACGTGTACGTGGATATTAAGATAGGTGAAGAGAATCGGGTGTTTGAGTCCGGCAGGCGCAGACAAAGCAACATTGTACTTGGAGACCGTGGAGCACAATGGGTGCTTGTGCGCAGCTCCTGTACGGGGAAACCCGGCCGAGCCTCCTGGAGGGGGCACCCAGGAATTCTGGGGACGGGAAGAGGTATTTAAGGCTCATTAGTATGGTGTTGATTCAGGAGAAACTTAACTAATTAAGGTCAAGTATATTTGTTAACTAATATATGAATCACATTGAATGCTTTTGCAAGGTAATTTCATGCTTCGTTATCTTTAAGTTCTCTGGAGAAATAGAAAATTTATGATTGGGAATTGAAGTTGCCCCTCTTTGCTTTGTTAAGGGAGACTTCATACAACGTCCCTCATCATGAAAAAGAGATTTTGCTCACACATGTACACATGTG